TTGCCAAAACGACTGGGCAGACCTAATCCCATTTGCAGAAGTCGCATATAATGGAGCCTGTCACGCATCCACTGGGAAATCCCCCTTTGAAATAGTCTACGGCATGGAAGTAACCCCTTTGCCAAAACTGCCGAGCTGGGAGGAGGAGGAACCGTGGGGAAAGGAAGGGTGGCCAGACAAAGTGAGGGCGAGTTGGGAGGAGGTCGTGGAATCACTCAGAGAAGCCCAATGGCAATATAAGTTATTTGCGGACAGAAAACGGAGGGAAGGAGATAGGTTGGAGGAAGGGGACTTGGTATGGTTGAGCACCAAAAATCTCAAGTTGAATGCCCCTTCCAGGAAGTTATCTCCTAAATACATCGGTCCGTTTAAAATCTCCAGCAAAATCAATGAGGTCACATATACATTGCAACTACCGAAGGTTTTGGGGAAAATACACCCAACGTTTCACTGTAGTTTGTTGAAGAAGTACCAAGGTTCGCTGGATAAAGAAGGAGTATAGTAGTGACATGTATTTCCCTTCCAGGAAGAAGAGGAGGAGGAGGAGGACGTCATGTCAGGAACCGGTTTCCAGGTCTTGAGTTTTGGCGCAAAAAACCAGAATCCTGACATGGACTGCTGATAAGAATGTGCAGCTGGTGGCCTTGGGGGGAAGCAGTTGGCATTTGGCGGGGAATGTTGCGCGGGATTCTCGGCCGGCGGGAAAAGGGAATTCAATTGTGAGGGAGGGTATATAAGGGTTAAACTGTGGCTGCGGGCCAATCCTGGCTTTCTTCGTGTATGAATGTCCAGCAGTAAAAGTTCCTGATTGATTACGGATTGGCGTCCTGTGTCGTTATTGGGAGCGGCTGCTGTGAGCTTACACTCAAGTATATACAGGTAATCTTGCCTTTGAGGTATGCTTTTCCACAATACAACTTCTGCTACAAAATAATGTCCCATTTCATCATGTGTTTGTGAACCTACTATAGGGGGGAAATATATCAGCCAACATAAAATCACAGCAGTAAAATATTTCTGACTGTCAACTAAAGGAAAGGGTTGTCCATTAGCCTTACCTGTAAATGCCACTCAGAAAGACCAAAAGCAAACTGCAGTAGTGGTGGTGCAATTCAATATTGTACAAAAATTCTGTGGCCAAATCTGCATAATTGACTGCAAAATGCCAGCACTTTTAATCACATTGCCACACTGCCTGCTAGTAATATCCTTTCCACATCTTGCTAATCAGTAACTATGTGTATTTGCCGTTGCAGCACTGCTAAGGAAATGCCTCAGAGTTTGGTTCTGTAAATATATGGCAAATCTTACATGGTTTGAAAACCCTGTTCATGACAGTAGCCCTTCTCCATCTGAAAGGTTATAGAGACAGAGTACATCTACCTGTCCATATGCTTGCCACTTTTGTGCTCCAGTTCTGCTTCATCATGCTAAATCAGAAATGCAAAGTTTGGGAGAGGCATGTTCCTTTTCTTTAAAGAAACCAAATGCATCAACGAAAATACATTTAACCACACCAGACCTATCCTTATTTTAAAGGCAATCTTTAATATTCCACCCATTCTCATTATAAAGGCCCATCACACCCTGTCTTTATAATGAAAAATAGGTGCAATGCTAAAGACTGGCAGTACATAAACAACAAGGACTATTTTATTATTTCTGATATTTTGGAGAGTAGGAAGAAGAAAAATTTCCGCCTCCCAGTGTATAGAATGATAAAGATTTACTGCAAATGTACAAATGAGGCCACAGGAGAAATAAAACACTTCTAAAATATTTAATTGATATTATATCTAATTCAGCCTTCATTATGTAGAGTTATCTATGGTATGTAAGATGGACAGTTGATCTTTTATTAACCAGTGGTTGGGACTTCAAATACTTTTGGTCACAGTCAATTTCAGAATTCTATGACATATATATTTTAATATCCAATAAAATGACTAAAATTTATGTTCACCCAATAAAACTCATTAGAAAAAAATGCTGCTAGGGGATAAAATCATATAACTGGAGGAATGTATTGATTATGCTTGCAAAAATATATTCCACTTCCAGATTGGATTACATGATAGCCATCAGCTAAAATTCAATTTTTAAAGAGAAATCTTCATTTAACAGAGATTTGCTTTTTATCACTCAGGGCCAGATCAGATATCACTGCAAACTCAGTTTTGAAATGCAAATCTTTATCACTTAAAATGCTTTGCAAGGAGTGGATAATTTCAAAGGAGGAGTGGTTTTTAGGCACTGCTAATTCTATCCTCTACTCAAAACATGTCACCTGAATTGTCTTCCAGTTAACCTTCTAGATGCAGCAAACATCTCCTATTATTAGCTTCAAGGAGGCAGTTGCCTGAGACAACAGGGTGTTGGGAGGAGCAAATCTCTTGCGTGCCCTGGCAGGCCTTCCTATGATCTGGAATATAGCCACCCAATACTTTGTATAGCTCGCTAAAGCTGGCAGTATATGAACCAGAGTCGGTAGTGATTTTCATGTCTATTTTTTCTGGGCACAGACATGTTTCTCCACATTTGGTGGGTTTATCTCCTCTTCCTCTGCACATGGGAAGGTTAGACAGCTCTCTACTGTTCCTCAAGGAATTAGTGAGGTATGTGGGGACTGCTGGTACTAGCTGATCCTCCACTTCCTTCTCAGACAGAGGAGCACAGTGCAACAAACATGGCCCAGAAGGAGCCCCTCATTCATGAGATGTTACAGTAAAGAAACCAAACACATTTTGTATCCCCCCCCCCACTTTTTATTGAAGATATTTGTTCTGTTCTAATTGGAAATCTTCATATTTTTGTGATATTTCCATAGTTTGGTTTTAATACAGACCCTTAGGGGATTGTTACATGGAAAGACTGGGTAAGGGAGTGGACGGGAGAGACTTCTTGTTTGGTTTTAAAATTTGTATTGGCCGAGAGATGTAATGGTGTGGGTCTTCTCATCTTGGGCATATTTTCACCTCAAGACTTGCTTTGGGGCTCTTTGGATTTTTTATTTTGCTGCAGTGAGTGCTATCACATCATCCTTAGGTGGTGTCAGAGGGATAGGCATCACTATTGCATCTTCTGCTAATGTAGTGGGATGGAATTTTGCCACTAGTATTAAGCTGACAATGTAGGGAAGGAGACACATTTTGCTTCCTACCTCAAGCAGCAACAGAGGTTAGATTATCCACAGCAAGAGGGAATGCAAAGAGAACAGGGGTGACCTTTGCTGCCCCTCTTTCCTGGGCTACTTATATAACATTTTAGAAGACAGCTAGGTTCTGAAGTCAATGTACATTGTCAAATGTAGTTTGTCTTTAAGACTCCAAACATTATTTTACCTTTATTGCTAAACCAGCTGGAGTCAGCCGTTCACTGTTTCGCTCGTTCAAGCAGTCTTCACCCATCAGAGATGTGAGATGCTGTAAGCATTCTGCATGCCCTTGTGATGCTGCAACATGCAAAAGATTGTTGCCATTTTCGTCATGAATTTTATCCAGATTGTCCACTGCGTGGTGGGGCTGTGCAAAAGAGGTTTTGGGAGAGTTAGTTGCTTTATTGAAGATAACCTAGTAGCTGCCATCTTCAAGTACTTCTATGGTAAGGTTGAAGCAGTCCTATAGAATAGTGGAAACAAATACCACTTCACCCTTCCCGATATCTCACTTACCAGGTGGATTTAAGACTCCCCCATTACATGTGAGTACATCTTTTCAAGCACTGAATCCAGTGATAATGAGGAGTACTGCTTATAGTTTATCTCTTTCGGAGTCAGCAGTACTGGGATTTGCATATGATGCTGCTCCATTATCTCTCATAATAGGTATCGCAGTAATTAGCTGATAAAACACTTGCTGCAATATTTGATTGTAGGCACTGAACACTCTAGCATTATACATTGCAACCAACATTACCATGACTCTTGGGGAGGGCAAGATGCTGTATCTCCACATGCTTTCCTTTCCACAAGCCAATTCATGTGATACATAATTTAATCCTATGTATTGTTGAAGGATTTGACATTCAGAATCACTTGGGTGTTGTGTGGTTTGTAGGCCGTATAGCCATGTTCTAGCAACATTTTCTCCTGATGCTTCGCCTGCATCTGTAACTGGAAAATCCTTTGACGATGCCAGCCACAGATGCTGGTGAAACATCAGGAAAAAATGTTGCTAGAACATGGCTATACGGCCTAGAAACCACACAACACCCCAATTTAATCTTACCTTACTGTCCACATCAAACTAATAAAGACAATACATTGAGAGATCACATTCAACTGTGCTCTAGAAAAGGATCAATTAAGGTTTACAGCGTGTAATCAATCTTAAGGATCTACAACAGTGGAGTTATAGATACTCAGTGAATTCTCTGTAGTCTGTGAGTACAATAATGACTTAGTGCAGAGACAGAGACCCTAATATCTTATGTCCAGGTATAGCTATCTATAACATTTCAAACAAAGGAAAGACAATAATTGGAATGCCTGGGGGATTAAAACAGAGTTTCCTTCCAGACGGATGAAGCATAAGATTGGAAATTAATTGTATAATGCCACTCATTTTTATGAAGGCAGATCTGGTAGAGGCATGAATGAATATTGATCTCCTGCAGGATGACAGTTCCTATGTCCCTAAGGGAATCTCCGAAGAACAATAAAAGATTACATTGTGTAGCTTTGTCCTAAATGTACAATTCTATTGGAGAAAACAAAAAGGAAATGTGCAAACCAATCCCAGTCTATGACTATGCAAACATTTGTTTTTCTTATTTTCTATTGGTTTTAGAGTCTTTTTCAAGATGTCTTCATTAGCCTTTCTTTCCCACTGAGATTACTGGTTTCTCAGTAATCGTGTTCCCTTTATTTTTAAAATATGAAACCCTTAAGCTTCTCCCAAGGGGTAAAAAAGTTATAAAGCATTAACTGCTTGTAGCTGATCTCACTGGACCAAATACAGCATTGGAGTGAGCTATCATGATTCCTGATGAGGATTATGACTGAAAAGTAGAATGAGGAGGAAGAGGAAATAAATAATAAATATATATAGAGAGAAATGTAAAATGTGTTGATGATAACACTGGGACAGTTAACTGTGTCAGTGGCTCTGAATTGGTATTCTCATACAGAACAAAAGGGAAATTTGCTTTATGTTTCCCTTGGCTCAATGGATATAAGAAAAGGGTGGCAGGGAAATTGAAATTGTAAAGATATTTTTCTGACACCCTGTGGTTAACTATAGTTACAGGGTGTCAGGAATTATCTTGGCTATTTCTATATACAATTTAAATTGCAAAGATAATTTTGGACAGTTTGCTTTTTTAATAATCACAGTGCAATAAACCACTACATTTAAAAAAAATGCTGGATTTTGTTGGTTGCTTAACTTCATGATCTGACACTGTTTCTGCTCCAGATATTTTTCTAGTTAAAGCACAAATGAAAGAAGGTACACAGTGAAGAATGCTCCCAGCACTTGCTTTCCTCACGCCAACCTTGCTAGCTTGTGTCTAGTTGCTTTGGAAACGCCTGTTTGATCACAAAGCTGGAACTAACTAAGATCTTCATATGGGTCAGGGGCCAATTGGGGCTACTGTGTGAGCTCCTGTTCATGAAAGCTGTTGCAATGAGCTGGGGTAAACACTCTTGAATAATAATCAGAACACAACAGAAGCCCCTCTGTTGCTATCACAGTTCCTCTCAACAGGAACTCAGTTAAATCTGCTAATAACTGACAAGTGAAGCCCCACCATTCTAAACAGCAGATTTAAACTTCATGAACACTATGGAGGAAGTGTAATGTGCATGTCCAGACACACTGCTACATTAAAATCAACCATCTTTGCCATTACAAACTTTAAAAAAATACTGCCATTATAAGTCACAATGTATTTGAATTTTGCCAAGTAAAAGGAGCAAGCATGGTTTAATTTCAACTCCAATTAACATTTTTAAAGTAGTATTTTCATTCTGTTTCACCTGAGTTATAATTTAATTTATTTAAATGACTTACCAGTAGGGATATCTGCCCTTCTTTCACAATATTGAGAATGCTTTTATTCTTTTTCATATTCTCGTTCCGTTCTTCTAGACCTCCAGAGCTGTTCCAGTTTGCATTGCTATTCGAGTCATCTTGCTTGTTTTCTGTCACTGCTGCCTGCAGATGAAAAGTCCTTAATTGACTGTGGGGCAGCGTCTTCTCCATTTTATCACCAAACGTCCTGTTGAGGAAGCTCTTGGTCTGAGCTTCGGGTTCCTGAACTGAACCACATTTAACTAATGGCCGGGGAAACTCGAATCCTTCTGCTAAATGCGTATGCTGATCAGGGACAATGGGCTGTGCTTTTCTCAGCTGAGAGCTTTTCACCGGGGACAGAACACAGAACTGCGTTGTTCCTGTTGGTGTCTTCTCAGTGTTTCCTGCAGAGTATAACTTGCTATTGAGACCATTCAGCGTTGAGTACACACTCAAAATCTGTTTCTCTGGAGCTGCCTTGGTAAAAGCAGCAAGCTGCTGGCTGGATTTAATATAAGGCACATCCAAAATTTCATCCATGTCCAGGTCATAATGCTCCAGCTCACCAAGCAAAACTCCCGGTTCGCCACACTTAGCCTTAAGACTCTCCCCACTACCCAGAGTCTGGTTGCCAGTCTGAGCTGCAGATGGAGAGTCACCATCTTTCTTGTACTCTACCTTTTGGTTCTTTTGGTCATCACTTTCATTATTTTCAGAGCTTTCTGGTTGGTGCTTAAGTGGGGAAACTCTCTTCACTGGCCTGAATTTACTGTACACATCTGCAATGCCAGTTGGTTTTTGCCCATTTCCAAGGAGAGTTGAGACTCCCAAACTCCAGTTGGTGCCAGAAACTAGGAGACAAATGAAACAAACATAGAAAGAATTCCATCAGTTATAGATCTATTATTGAGGGGTAGTGTTCTTGGTCATGCTATCAATGACCAATGCAAGCCACAAAACAGTGATATCTTTATTGGGACCAGCTGCAACACACAAAACAAAGTATTCAAGCTTTTGAAACTCCACTCACTTTGTCATATGGCAAAAGATGTTAAAAATCATGCAGAGGAACAAAATTGACTATTATTTTTATCCTGTATGCTTTCAGAAGAGAGTGTCCTTGAAACATAATTATCCATAGCTAAGGTGAAGCAAAAATGGTGTGAAAAATATACTTTGACGTAAGTGCAGCTATTATGAATCAATGGGAATTCAGGAAATCCATTGATGTAATGAAGTAGTCTGGCTGAGTATAACTATCGGATTTAGGCTTTTGTTTTTAACTGCTATACTATAAAAATCAAATGCATGTGAACTATAAAGAACCTTCAAAATTTGGGTTTAAACTACTCTGTGTGTTTATGTGTAGGCTACATTTAGCAAGAGAAAAGAAATAAAATAAGAAATATAGAATTCAGCTGAATACATTTTAATTTAATTTGATTGATCAAAAAATATCCAAGGCTTTGCTTACTAGCTTAGAATCAAAGACCTAAAGCATTCTTAACTTGTGTTTTGTTTTTTAAAGTTGAAGTGGGGGAGGTCTGCCTGCAGCAGTGTTGGACTGTTCAAAAAAATACATGCAACTTTCCATATCAAAAACATCCCCTCGAAACTGACATTTGTTCCACAGGTGGGGGAAAAGGTTCAATGAAGCATCCAAATGCAGCATCCAAGGAAAATATTGTAGAAGGGGACATTAATTCCAGTAAGAAATACGATAGATATGAGAAACTTTATGTTTGCTTCCTGCTGCTACTATTTGAGACAGACTATCATAGATCTCTTAAATAAAGAACAGTTTAGCGTTGCATCTTCTCCAGAACTGTCTTAATTAATGAGTAATTTAATATCACATATTCCCTAGAGTTCAGATAAATGAACATTACATGTTTTTAAGAATTCAGTTAGATTCTTGGGAGCCCTAGATACAGGAAATCCTGACAGAAGCATATTCTGTTTAGTAGGAAGGAACCAGCAAAAGTATATATTTATTACTGAAATCATAACATGTATGATGATTCGATTTATCATGTGTACTAAACAGAGTGCTTCATTTGTAAAAATCTTGTATTAAATTTCAGGGTTTCTAAAAATGCTACAAAGAAGCAGATGTACTAAGGCTATATTCATAATAATATTTTGAAAAGAGCAGAAAAAAGTTTGACTTATTACCTGGATATTTTAAGAAGCTTTTGGAATTATTTGGATAATTAATTATTATTTCAAAACCAAGATGCAAACTAAGATGTCCAATACAAAAGCTTGTCACTGCATAGATTTATTTATACATTATATATGATCCTGGGTTCAGAGGGTGACACTTTTATGTTGGTTTTATTTACATGTGACATTTTTTCCAAGTGATAGGGGGAAATGGATACCACATGTTTCCCAGCTGTTTTATTCAGAAGGGAACTTCAAAAGTCTTTACATAAAAAATGAATTTTGTCAAAGTGGCATGAAAACACTTCTTCTGACAGAGGGGTCTAGACTGTGACAAGGCATCAACATTTTGTTAGTCATCACGTTCCTTGCATCCAGATGATCATTGTTTTTTTTTTTTTGGGGGGGGGGGAGATTGGAATGAATGTTTTTTCCCCGCTGTTGAATTCAAATACATGTCAACTCTAAGCAGATAGTTCCTGGATTGGGATAAACTGTCATGAGAATGGCAGTGACTTTAGTTCCTTTAGGTTGAGATTCTTGGCTCTAGATTGGGATAAAAAATATATGACATATGTATGTATGTGTAAACAGAAAGTACATAACACAGATAAAGATGTAAAATATCTGATACCATGAAGGCATGATAAAACCATGGTTTATCATAATGCAAACGAAGTCTGGTGTCTGCATTTTTCTCTTGTTAATATCCTGGTGGGAAATCAAGTAATTTGATTATTATGCCCAATATTTACCATGTGATTCATTTACCTCTTCTAAGTTAGGGTTTAATTTAGTTTCATATTAATATATAATACTGATCTTCTAAGACACAAATGAAATTTAAGACTGTTGAGTTGGAATGTGTTAGTCATGGCCAAACAGTCCTATAAGTCTACTCTAAGCATGACTATTCAACTTAATGAATACACTTAGATGCCAAAAGAGGCAACAATTAAGAGTATGTTCCCCACCTTACATTGTTGCAGCAGTTTGAAACAATTTTGCCTTCCATGACTCAGTACAGTGGATCAATATTATGAATGCTGGGATTTGTATACTTGAATATTCCTGCTGTTGAGCTTTATTGTAGCTCAAGTGACCCAAAGGATTCATGCTTTGTAAGAGACTTCAAAGTAGCCCACAAAGCTTTGTAGCATGGGCTCATAGTATTGTGTAGCTATAATTATGCAATACTGCAGATGCATTCTAAGGACAAAGGTAACAAACTATTTCTGTTGTACAAGAAGAGCAGGAAAAAGGGAGACATCAAGTCTGTGTTTGTTTTCTGTGATATCTCAAATACTGCATTGTCTCCCACTCAGCTGGAGAAGACCCACTGCCATGTTTGGATATTGCAATAAACATGAATGAATATCCTTGGCTAGTGAGTATGCTATAAACATGGCCGTAGAGTCAAAAGTAGCAGTGAAATCAGTCTGTGACACATTAAATGTATCCAAAAGAAGCAGAATCACCATGCTCAATAGCACTAATTGGTGCTAATTTATGGCTTGATAAATGAAGTTAGTCTCATAATTATATCGCTACAGTGAAGAGCTGTAGTTTCATTAGAACTCCAGCTAAGTAGAGCATTTTGGATAAGAGGCCTTTGCAGGGAGAAGGAGGAGGTGCAGCCTTACTTCTTAGTTTCTCCTCATCCTTGCAGAATTGGGCTTTGGCCTATCTCCCCTTTGCCTGATCAGTTGTGACATTTCAGCAATTATAGTGTTATGATTCCATTTTAACTCTTGTAACAACTTTCTTTGGAATCCTGGTATTTGCAATGTAGGGAAGAACATTTAGCATTCTCAGCCAGAGAGCTCTTGTGCCTCATCAAATTACAAGACCCAAAACTCTATAGGAAGTTGCCCTGACAGTTTAAATGAGAGCATAGTATTATACAGAAAATGCTGCAGTTCATGGCTTATTCAGTGCAAATTCGCATGGGGTTGTTTTGCAAGGAAAACAGCATTTTTCCTGAAGGAAAAATGGGCTGGCACCTATTCACTATTTACAATGTCAGAAGCTGGACATACATCATTATAATTATTGAAATTAATGTTTAAAGTCATTGCAGTACTGCAACAACCAAAGATTGCCTCCACAACCTACCTTTAAAGTCAAGCAGCTACCCAACAGGTATTGGGAGAGTTAGGAACTAAGCAATTATGCATCCTACTTTCTTCTGGCAGAAAGATGTGATGCAAAACGACCACTACCTGGGGTCCTTGCTTTCAAGCAGAGCCTATATCTTCCTGTTCAGAATCCCTTCGCTCATGTGTGTCAAATGCAAGATTGGTGGGCTGAATCTGGCCCATCATGTCATTTTACATGGCCCTCCAAATGCTGGACTACAACTGCTGTGTCCCTTATCATTAGACATCATGACTAGAACTGATGGGAGTTATGGCACAGTAACATCTGCAGTTTGTTCTGTTTAGTTTGGATAGTAGGGTCTGAATTCAGATACAACTCTTGTGGATATGATGTTTGACTTTAAAGCGCTCTTTAATCTTTTCCCAACCTCAGAGCCCTACTTAATTAGAGCCAATTTAGCCCCTGGCCTGACAAAACTTCCTTACCCTGGTCTTCATGCTTTTCATTTTTATGTATAGTCACCATAATCTTGGGAAACAGGTTAGGGGGTCAAAGAGTAATTTGCCTGCCAGCATCCAGTGGCTCATGCTTGGAGAAGGATTTGGACTCAGGCCTCCCTGATCTTCTTCCAGCAGTCTAACAACTATACTACACTAGGGACCTCATCACACAATGGAAATTCAGTGTCCTAGGACACTTCTGCCCCAGTTGACCCATGCAGCCCCATGCCACCCATTACACAACATTGTCTCACTTCCAGCGGGGCTCCTTGGGCCAACTGAGGTGGAAGCATCATAGGACATTGTGCTGCCAACACAGGAGCCTCCTTGTGTTCCATTTGGAATGGAGCTACTGTGGGATGATGCTGCACAGTGACACTTCCCCACGTGTGATGGTGATGTGTCAGCTTGTGGCAAGGTGGGACATGAGGCACCAGGATTGCTCCACAACCCCCCAATTTGCCACAGAGGCTGGTGAATCAGAATGCTGGACCCCATCAATGTGATGAGGTCCCTATCTTTCCAAGATAACGTCTTAAAGAGCAACTTCTCAACTGAAAAGTGAGGGTACAACCTTAGCAACTTATCAAATCAAGGCATAGATTTATAACTCTGAACTTCCATGCCTTTACTACTTTAGCCTATGGAATGGTATCACCTTCAGCAACAATCTACACCTACAGTCTGGTTTTGTGTGTGTATGTGTGTCAGGAGCGACTTGAGAAACTGTAAGTTGCTTCTGGTCATTCCTATCAGACAAATATTTTGGGCAGCTTTTGGTTCTCTTGGTTGTAACACATTTTATCTTAGGAATTACAACAAGGGCTCTCTTGTGCTTTTAACCCCCACCCCTATCCCGAACACACACCCAAACCCTTATCTCAGCCACTATTAGACAATGCTAAGAGTCCTTGCATCTGCCTCCTCTGTTTATCGATCTAGAACTGCTGGCCCTGAAAAAAGTTTGAGAGGTATAAATATGTGCAAGTAAACAAGCCAGCTCCTTATTTCCACCCCCTCCAATAAATGTTTGTATAATCTGATAAAAGATCTGCTGTACTTATTGCTGAACTCAAGCATTTTAG